ATATATATAATTTAACCACAATTTCGGGCCCAACTATGTGACTTTCGGGCCCAATTGGTTCGTATCCCTCAAGCCTACGCGGCCCAATTCGGGCTAAAAACCTTTCGTGATATTATAGTTTAAATAAAAGAAAAGCGGGAAATGGCTTAAATATTACAGATATGGAAATGGAAGCAGACATAAGCAGAACAGAACTCTTTAGATATGGGTTCCATCATTCTCATTTACTTAGTTCTTAAATTAATGACAGAAACAACAGAGATCCATGCTTATTAGTTCCAAACTAAGAAGTACATTATCACGGTGATCTAAGGTTCATAGCCGGCTAAATTATACAAATTCCAATTGAACATTTTCAGAAGTTAATCATACCATGGAAATGGCAGAGAAATAAAAAGATGAACACAGAGATCGTCTGGCTATCTGAAGTCTGAACGAGATGACTGGAATGCCTTGAGTGCTTTTCTAAGACGTTGCGTCTGGTTTTTGGAGAGAGAGTCCCCTTCTTCTGTGCTGGAAGCTCTCTATTTATAGGAGCAGGAGAGGTCTTAAGTGATGATGACTGAGCAAGGATATTTGGCTGTTGTCCAAAGTCAGCTTGCTGATTTGACGTCCTGAACTGGTCCGTAGAGGGGGAGATCGATCTTTCTGACGAGAACCGTCGGTCCTTCGAATTAGTTTCCTGGTCTGAGGCGTTTTCGTCCTTGGCGATTTGATGTGCAAGTTGGCTTCTTACCTGGCTTGGTGGCTTCCTTAGGCGGCTGGCTTTTCTTAAGAAGATTAGGAAGAATTAGGAGAGGTAGGTTAACTTAGGGTTAAACATAAATATTATAATTATATATTTATTTATTTAAATATAAACATATATATTTTCGGGTCGGGGTCGGGGATGGGGATGCCAATACCATCCCCTCCCCATACCCGTAGGGGATTTTTCAAGTTCAGGGATCCCCATACCCGATACCCGTTTGGCCCCGAAATTTCCCCCCGTGAACACAGAGATCGTCTGGCTATCTGAAGTCTGAACGAGATGACTGGAATGCCTTGAGTGCTTTTCTAAGACGTTGCGTCTGGTTTTTGGAGAGAGAGTCCCCTTCTTCTGTGCTGGAAGCTCTCTATTTATAGGAGCAGGAGAGGTCTTAAGTGATGATGACTGAGCAAGGATATTTGGCTGTTGTCCAAAGTCAGCTTGCTGATTTGACGTCCTGAACTGGTCCGTAGAGGGGGAGATCGATCTTTCTGACGAGAACCGTCGGTCCTTCGAATTAGTTTCCTGGTCTGAGGCGTTTTCGTCCTTGGCGATTTGATGTGCAAGTTGGCTTCTTACCTAGCTTGGTGGCTTCCTTAAGCGGCTGGCTTTTCTTACTGGAAGAGGGAAAAGTCAAATCGTCATTAAATGTTGATGGTCCTTCTCACCTCCGTGTGGGTTTGGAACATCTTTCGATTTCCCATTTTTCAGTAGTCCAATCGCTTTGGGCCCGCTGCTCTTGGGCTTTGGTTTTTGTCTTGGTGTTCTTGAAAAATTTAACCTATGGACAACTATTGGGCTTGGGCCCTTGCCATGCTCTTTTTTGGGAAGGTAACCAGTTTTGGTCCATTGACCAAAATTGGGTACAAACACCTTGTAGCGACAAGCATGGCACCACCTCACACCCTTACAGCTGCTCCATCTCATGGCATTTCGATCGGAACTGGTGGACTCCCCCATGTTGAGGCCATGGCCTTCCATGATGGCAATCCGGCCACCGCCTTCAATTACAGCTTCGTTGTTAAACAATTACATCCATTTCCTCCTTGACACCATGCTTGACGTTCGCGGCTCCCGAGCACACCTCCAACGAAACCTTAGGTC